TATAATCATCGTAGTTCCGAACATGCTACAAAGAAATCGACAAAGACAAATGTAAAAAGTTGAAAAAAAATAACAAAAAGAAATCAAGAGGAGGAGGGAGCCAGTAATTGTCATGGCAGTGATGCCCCTCCACAAAAAATTTGACGGTGTCCCTAAACGATGGGAAGTTTGTAGGTGTGAGGGAGGTGGTCTGTCCCTATATTCACCCCTGGGTCATGGTCGGGACCTAGGACTAAGGAACTTGGGCTAGCTCACAAGTTGCAATTTTGGGTCCCATTGAAGAATCATGGGTTCCACCAAAGAAATCCAGCAACAAAGTTATACAGCTATGTTTTCCATTAGCAATATTTAGCCAGCGGGATCGATGGCCTAAGAAAATTATTGGACTAAATCTATAATTAAGGCACTGTATCCTCATAGATGGAAAATCCCATGTGCCTTGCCTTATCTCGTATATGGCCCTTACTTTGATTGGAATTCAACATTATTTTGATCTCAAATAATTTTGATCCTTAATCATCATGATAAATTAAAAAAAGGTTTATGCTTCCTTACCAAAAAAAAGAAGAAGGTTTATACTTGAAAGCGATCGAAGAAAAAAAAAGAAACTTTAGTAGTACTTGAACTATAAGATTACACGTACAACAAAGTGATGATACTATATTAAATAATTACTAGTATGTAAAATCTTAAGTTGTCATAAATTTGGCCAGCAACATATATAAAGCTACAATGTCTATTTTCTAAGTCTCGAATGCTCACAACAAGTGTTCCAACTTCTCGAGTAATGCTCTATTGCTTACGATAATGCTATTTTTTGTTCAAATCTGAAAATTAGCTAGTTTGGTAAGGGAAGTGATTTGAATTCACCATTTTAGCTTCTTAACATCTTTGTTAATCATGGTCGTTAATTCCATTTGATTTATATTCAATCTGGTTGCTTCGCCGACCACATCAGCGGCATGTAATACTTCTTAAGAAAACAACGTATATTTAATATAATTGATCTTTATTTGCCAAACAATTAAATTAATAGTACATCGATTATTATGTCCTTTGGGTCATTTTACATATCCACTACTGTTTTACATGCAAATTTACTAATACTTTAACACCGTTTTGTTTGCTAAACGCACTTTTACAACTAGGGCTTATCAAACAATTTCAACTTTTTACATCTGTTTATTCTTACAGCATAGCAACAATTTTTTTTTTTTCAAAGTGCAACGTACCAAGTTAGCCCTAGCTCGACTCGCAAAGAAGAGATTGGGACTAAGATTTTTTTTAAATAAATAATGACCTTTTTGTATTTTCAGAACTCAAGCAGGTTTTTTATTATTTTTAAGTTCAACTTTTTAAAATAATCTTACCAAACAAGGATTCAAAATTTGTGATTAAAAACTTGTATTCAAATATACCAAACGGATCTTAATCAATTATAAATTTTTTATTTCTTAGTTCTATAGTTCTTGTTTGTATATGTTTTTAAAACAATTGAAAGCGTTTTTGGTGAAAATATTTTTGAGATCAATTCTTAATAAAAATACAAGTAAATTATAAAAAAAAACACTAAAAAGCTTTTATAAAAAGCAAATAACCGGTACTTCATGTAAAAAACACTATAAATACTTTGGAAACAAAAAAAATATTTTCCTTAATAGAACTTTTACTCATTTTAAAAGAACATACACACAAACGATAACCCGCATGGAAAAAACAACCTTGCGATAATAAATACCAACGAATTGTGAGTTTCGATGCAAATGGATTAACGGCTGTGGATTAATCTGCACGCCCTTCGATGATTAAACCTTTCCTGCTCCATGATTGGCTTGATGACGTCACCCGTACCGCAGCTTCACCATTCCCGACGCTAATCCCAGCTTAAATCACTGCACTAATTATCCAATCAGCCTTAATTAATTACAATAGAATCAGTGCACGGTCCAACGGTTTCCGGACCACGCTGCCATACTGTAGTCGAGCTGGATACGATCGGGACACGAAGCCACGTGGCCAGCTTAAAGCCCTCTGGATAGCACACACGTGTCGCCACGTACAGTTTTTGTACACGTGTCGGGGAATAAAGTTGTTTTATTACGTCTTAAGTAAGATTAGGGTGATGCGCTAAGTTCCAAACGAGTGTCTAATAATTCTGCGACTACCACGACCCCCATTTTACGGTACACGCAACGTAAATGAGTGAATTTAAGAATATTTCTGTCAAAACTGTTATACAGACATATAAAAATAAAAAAGGGTAGCAAATTTTCTCTAATGGAGTTTTCAGTTTTTTTCGTGGCTCTAAGTTAATAAAAGGCAAGTCTTTTTGCTGTTAAATTTGACAGCAGTTGTCAAGTTTATTTATTAATTTTTTGATAAAGGTGTTGCAATATATAAGAAATGTTGTTGTGTATTTCAAATATTTGATTGTTGTCTTAATATTTGGACTCCACAAAGAGATGAAGAAAAAAAATTATAGAATGACATTATTATATAACATATTTGGTGGACTAAAAAATTGAAAAAAACCTCAAATTGCCACATGAGCTATCAAATCTCATTTTGATGTTTAGAGTGTAGAATGAGATTTTTGGAGTACCAATAACAATTCCCCTAAAATTTGACATCTCTTTTGAAGATGCTTTAAAATAGATGCTACTGTAACTTTATTAGGGTCTTGTAATGATTTTAGTTTCATATACTCATAATTGTATTTCTATTTTTTTTTTAAGAAGATAATTAGTGGCAAGTCACAGTGATCCGGCTTTTATGGGCTGGAGAGGTTATGAAGAATTTCATCTTACTTGTGACCACAGTTAAGCAGATTCACTAGCTTGGGGCATCGAACCTGAGACCTCCCACAATTTTTTATCTACTCATAATTGTATTTTTGACGCTGGTAAGTTTCTCTCCTAATAATGGTTATCGGGCATGCATTTTTTACCATCCTATACATTGATGTATATGTATTGTAGAATTTTCAGTCGGTACAAAAGACGTCGTCGTTTATGAGAAAATCAAAATGTTCTTTGGACAAACCACCATTGTCCGAAATTCTCTCAAGCCGACAAAGATGCCTTTGATTTACAGGGACTTGGTTGCCTAAACACCCTTGATTTGATGAAACCGCTCCCCATCATTCTGATAACCCAACATTGCCACTGCATATATGTTATCTTGTACATTGAACAAGGGCAATACTGTCTTTTGAATGTCCAAAAAAGTTCGAGGAGGAGTGGCAAGAGCAAATTGGAAAGCTTTACCTAGTGTGAGAGCGGTCCAGACCGTCACTGTGCCACTTGACAGAAAAAATGGAGAAAAGTTAGAGTCAAAGTCTAAGATTTGCAGGCCCTCCCTCATCAGGACTTTGTAATTCATTCACTCCTACATTAAACATCATGAACTAACACCACCGAGTTAACTCGGCCTAGAAATGACCACGACAAAGGAATAAATGAACACAAGATTACAATTTATTTCAAGTTAACACGATGTAAGATTCGATCTTGCACTTCGAAAGACAGACATAGATAAATGGAACAAGATGAGGATGTATAGCGAAACCCACATTTCAACTCTATCTTTTAATTGAAGAGAAATATAGAGAAATAAACGGCAATACCAAACATGACAACCACTTGATTTTGAGAAATTAAATCGTCAACGATTAATTAATTGAGCTAACAATGATTTAAATACACACATTATTACGTAAATAATAATATGCGAATATAAGCTATAAAAAAATACAATAATTGATTAAAATTCATATGGGAAATTTTTTGTGGGGAAGGTCATTTCTCAATGGAAAGTGATTTTTGCCACTTTTTCTCTCTTGTTTTCTTCAAACCAATATGCCCGGGCAACTTCATCTTGCACTTGGAGAGGTATACAAACAACAAATGACATTGCTATGCATGAACCGCTTGGCCCTAAGAAAGTTTAGCTATCAGGATAAAGAAAATCGACTTAAATACGCATTATTATGTGTATAACCGGTGACATATATAATCTATGAGCAAAGTAAAAACTATTAAGTCAAAGAATTAATTAAAATCTATAATGGAAAAACTTGAGTCATCTGCAATCATGGAGCCCTTCAAAAATTTACATTTTGAAGAATATTGTAGGCTAAATTTTTCCATCTCCAGCTATGCCGGGTTAAATTTTAACACCTTAGCTTGGGATGTATATGTTGTGACCCCGCCAAGGCGCTTGGGGGCTTGGTATATGTACTTTGCCCTTGGCTAAATGTAGCCCTAATTCTTTGTAGCAGACCCATTTTGACTCTTGGATGGAGATAGATTTTGTACAAATTCGGGAATTTTTACACACCTATTTTTTCCTTATGCATCCTATTTGTTATTAACCATTAGAGGAGATTCAACGGTCAAAAATAAACATGGCATAAATAAAATTTACAAACATAAATAAAAATATGTGGGAAAAAGATGAATTGACACAAACAACGATGTATATCAAGCTACTACAACCAACTTTATATTGCACTTGGAGAGAAAAGCAGACAGATGAACTACACAATTCGGCATGACAACCACTTGGCTCTGAAAAAAATTAAGCTGTCAAGATGTAGAGCAACGATCTAGTCCTTCTAATAGTGACTTACATACGCATATATAGTCGGTGACACGTATGAACCATGCGTTAGTGACTTAAATACGCATATATAATCGGCGACACATATAAACTATGCGTGAAGGATAAGCTATTAAGTCAAAATCAATTAAAATCAATAAATGGGAAAATGGTAAAAGGTTAATCTCTATACAAGTTTAGAAAAAAAATGGGAGTGTGAAAATAATTTCCGGGACTCAACTTAGTGGCATTTGTTGCTAAGGTATATTTATTACACAACATCTAACCCCTAGTGGGGTAAGCAACTTAACCATGGATTAGAACTAGGGTTAAAAGAACAAGTGGTTAAGAAGGACAACCACAAAACCCAGATTTTTATTATCGACAGTCATCACTGCTCATCATCATCATCATCCCTCTCTCGGCTAGCTAAACCGTCTGTCTCTCTCTCTCTAAAAAAAACCTAACCATCTTTCTCACTCTCCATACCTCCCCTCACTTTCTCAACATCCTCCCATGGCAGCTCAGAGCTGTAATCTGCACAGAAATCTAATCCTAACGACTTAAAGCAGCTTCCTTTTAACTTTCTCTGTATTTGCTTTTGATTTTTGTTCTCAGTTTTTGGAGACCCCTAGATGTTTGAGCGATGGATATAACCCCGTCCATCACCACCACCACCAACAACACCGCCAGCACAAAATCCCCGGAAGCCGACAGCGAAACTCCGACTCGGATCCGGCAACCCTTAAAGCCTCCGTCCAGCAACGGCGTCCTCAAGCGCCACAACCCCACGCACCACCTCCACCACCACAACATCCCCATCACCCCTGTTGTAGTCACCTACAAAGAATGCCTCAAGAACCACGCCGCTGCGTTGGGTGGCCACGCCCTCGACGGCTGCGGCGAATTCATGCCGTCTCCCGCTGCCAACCCCGCCGACCCCACCTCACTAAAATGCGCTGCATGTGGCTGCCACCGCAATTTTCACCGCCGTGACCCCGAGGACCCCGTGCAGCCAAACACCCCCGCCGCGACAACGCATGTCATCGAGTACCAACCCCATCACCGCCACCATCCTCCTCCGCCGACTCACCCCGGCAACCGAAGCCCCAGTTCAGCTTCTCCACCGCCGATCTCGTCCTCCTACTACCCCTCCGCCCCCCACATGCTCTTGGCTCTGTCCACCGCTCACGAAAACGCCTTGGCGGGTGCGAATAATAACAACGCCGTTGCTATGCCCCAGATCGTGTCGCCGAGCCCGAATGCGAGGAAGCGGTTCAGGACCAAGTTCACCCAGGACCAGAAGGAGAAGATGTACCAATTCGCAGAGAGGGTCGGGTGGAAGATGCAGAAGAGAGACGAGGAAATCGTGCAGGAGTTCTGTAACGAGGCCGGCATCGAAAAAGGGGTTCTCAAAGTCTGGATGCACAACAATAAGAATACCTTCTCCAAGCGAGACGTGCTCAATGGCGGCGCTGGCGGCCGTGCTGGCAGTTTAAGCAGACCCAGCAGCTTTCTCCTTGAGCATTCCCACCACCACAACAACGGCACCAACGGCAACGGCAACAACAACGATGATGACGAGGAAGAGGATGATGATCAAAACGACAACAAGAACGGCGTTCCGAATCCGAATCATCATTACCAGGGTGCTGACGGAGGTGGCAACAATGGGTCATCTTCTTCTTCTTGATCCTTTTGATGAATAATAAGAGGAGCTTAATTAGCATTCGAGTAAGGCCAGTGCTATTAAGTAATTAATTAATTAGTTGCTCTTAAATTTTCTTTCTTTCTTCTTCTTTCTTAATTCTTCTTTCTCATTGTGTTTAGTTTAAGTAATGAGACTATCAATACTTCAGTTTGCTGAGGATAACCTGGGAAGAGATTGATTGATCCAAAAAAAGGGAATTAATTTGCTGCCTATATCTTCTCTTTATTTATTTATTTATTTTAGTTTCTTTCCATTTCCCCAAAGTGATTTCCGCATTGGCTTTTCTTCCTGCTTAATTCTTGTGTTTATTTTTCGCCTTTGTATTCAATAACTTAACTCAAGTTAAGAGCATGACAGAAATAAATCATACTGCGCAGAAAAAACTCTCTTAATTCTTGTGTTTATTTTTCGCCTTTGTATTCAATAAATTAACTAAAATCAAGAGCATAACCGAAATAAATCATACTGCGCAGAAAAAACGAGTGCAAAAATTATTATTATTTTTTGTTCTAAAGCTATGTGAAGCTGAAAATGTGTTCAATTTCTTGTTACTAAAACAAATGCATTGGATTTTATTAATATTCTGTTCTCTGAGAATAAGCTGCAGAAATGCAGGTTACCCTTTTTCTTTTTCAGAAGGTGAGAGAGAGAGAGAGAGAGAGAGAGAGAGAGAGAGAGAGAGAGGCATTGTAAGTTCTGAATCTAATGTCTCATCAGGGAGAGATTTTCCTATCCTGTGTCCGATACAAAGAAGCAGAAAGTGTTAGCACAAAACATAAGATCATTGTGGGCAGTTGCAAAATAAATTATTCTACATTATCCCATTAGCTTTAAGCATTTTCTTAACTTTTAATTATATATAAAATTAAACTAGAGAATGATCCAAGAGAGATCTAAAGAAATCATTGTTTAAATTAATACCCACATCCCGATTATTGTCTTAGATTTTTTTTCACCACTATTTTAATTGTTTTTTTTTTAATTGTGGTATGGACCATTTTGCTGCTGATCATATATTAAAATGCCTGTAAATTAAGAAATCCTCAGCTAGCTATCATGGCTTTAATTTTTTATTGCGTCTAAAGCGTGTGCAACCAGATGTAAAAAAGCAATACATAGACCAGTGACTGCAAATGTGTGAACTTTTTTGGTGGGTTTTGGATGGTAGGCTTCAATTAGGGATTACTCTATGTTTTTTAACCTTAATCTATTCCAAAAGGGTTAATTAATTAATTAGTTGAATTAAGTAAAGCATAATCTAATGAGGTCAGTTGGTAAGCTTGAGGATGTGTAATGTTCTGTCCCTTGCCTTTGAAGGGAAGCAGATATTAGTGATAACCCTAATTATGTTGGACTAAATTAATAGATTAGATGGATAAAGAATGAGACGACGACGGCGACGACGTTAAATCGAAAATGATACTTAGAAAAATCAAGTGTGTTTTCCACCAGCAAAATTTGGGTTTGTTTTGGTGTTTTTGTCATTTGATGAAGTCGGTAATCTTGATTTTGTGGGGGCTGGTCCTTTGCCTGCGTATGCCCTTCCAGGCTCCAACTGCCAAGTATGGCCAAGTATGGGTTGCTCATGCTCAGTCAATTTACCCTCTAAAGCGTTCAGTGGGGAAATGGTGATGGGCCTTCTTAACTCCTCACACAAGGAAAATGTTAACACGGGTCGAGCATGCCGGTTGATCTTGCTATCTAATTTAGGGTGGATAGATCGGTAGTGATATAAGGTATAATTAAGAAAATATGTAATGGGAAATAATTGCTTAATCTAGGTTTTGAAGCTTCAAAGTGGAGTAATTTATCTTTTACGTCACACTTTGCCCCAATCGGAAAATATATGTAGAGCATGGATGGAGTTTGGTGAGAGTAGCTAGAATCTAATTAAAACTTCACCATAATTACAATACCAGAAAGAACTCTTTAATTCTGAGAGATACTGACCGAACTTGAACTCCCGACAAATGCTTAGATTTGATGAACTTTCTTATGATACAAGAGAGATTTTTCAGTGTGCCGAAAATATTAAGTGTCACAATACAACTGATTAGATGCTTGAGGGAAAAATTTCAACTACTTGTATTATGACACTTAATGTGTCAGACCGTGTTCCTGCCGCATTGAAAATTTTCTCAGGATATAAGAGGAGTGTCGGAAAAAAGGACAGTATTGAATGCAAAGCCTTGACTTTAAATCCATGTATCCATCAGATATGATGTCATTAGACTTGTGTGATCCTGTCTTCTTTATTGCTATCTGTATCTGTAAACGGGGTTAATCATTAATTAATAAGCAGTTTAGCTAAGCAAATTGGGGTTTGCATGTTAGATATTGAAGCTGTTTATAACCCTGATTTAAAACAAGATTAACTGCAAGAATTTGATTGTTCGAACTCTAAGTTGAAAACCCACTTCTCCAACTCCTCACATGGACTATTTAGGAGTGCTGGTAGCCAGTTTGTTGGGATTTGGTCGTACAACTGTGGATGATTTCTGAGAATTGTTTGTGAAGAAAGAAAATCTTTTACTCAATCCAATAAAACTGTGGGTGATTTCTGAGAATTGTTTGTGAAGAAAGCAAATCTTTTACTCTATCCGATAAGATTAAGAGCATGTTTTGCGAATTAAAACATCTTTTTAAATAATCAAAAGTAAGAATGATAATTTCATGCACGACGCAATATATAACTTGAAATTAGCACGAATTAAAATTCAATGGGTAGACAACTAACACTGTTGACTGTTCAACTGATATCCTATTTGTTCAAATGATAATTTTTCTCAATTTTTCTAATGAATAGCGTGAGTTATTGCATTGTTGTTTACACGAATATTACATGAATAAGAACGGGTAAGATGGAACATGGCTCATCGCCTTTCCTAACCAAAAGTAATTTGACTAGGACACAGTAAAAGTACTTACTGATTAAAAAGCTACTTTGTAGTGCTTTATAGCGAAGCAAACACCTAATAAAATATACATTCAGTTTTAACAAGATCGTTTTTAGTAAAAATGTTTTCCGCATAAACGTTTTCAAGTAATCTCTTATTATAAAGTAACTTTATATCTTTTTACTGTAAACTCTTTACTCATGTGCTTCTAAACATTGTTTTAAAGTTTGTACGATAAGATTCCTCCATCACTACTAGAACGAGCTGTGACTTGTGAGAGAAAAATGTTACTGTCAAATGGAGTTGTGGGGATCATATGGATTATACATAATCAAAGAAGGATTTTTTTTACTTTGGATCAGAGTCATCATGCAATGTTTCATCGCTTTTAAGTTTTTGCTTCACCTCAATTGCCAGTCCAAGCAAAACGTGACCAGGACACTGTTCTATTGGTTTGCCCAAATTAGTGCTAGTAGATGATGCTCCATGTGTTGTAATAATAAAAACACAATTTCAATGTGCATGGCAACCGCATGTGAAGAGAGGACACTGTACAGGGAACTAGCTAGGGTTAGCGGATAACACATCGACCCACAAATTAAATAAAAGGTGGTGCTATCCACACATTTATTTTTATCTCTCACACACCTCTCTTAATTTTCAATCGTCGGATCAAATGAATTGAGGAAAGCCAATGAAAAAAAATTTAATAGTGTGTGAATAGCATTACTTTAAGTAAATTTGAAGCATATGTTATATATGAAGAAAATTAAGGTTCCACTATAAAATTAATTGGCAATATGGGGAATAGTATAACTCCTTATTGAAGAAGTTGAGGTTCCATCATAAAACCAATTGGTAATATGGAGAGCAACCCAACCTCTTATAAACCCCTGCATGATTTGGTCCCTCACTGATGTGGGACTGTGTCCCCACATTCTCACACTTATAAGCCCTTGCATGTTTGGTCTCTCACAGATGTGAGACTTTGTCTTCACATTCTCACACGCCTCCTTACATTTGGCGAATTTTCAACCTTAACACGTAGACAACACAAATTGGGTGATGTGGAGCATGTGTGTTAGGCTTCACATGTGGGCCAACGTGTTTTGATATCATAAAGAAGGTTAAGGTTCACCATAAAATTAATAGATAATATGGAAATTAACTCAACTCCTTATAAGCCCTTGTATGATTTGATCCCTCATCCTCACATTCTCACAATATAATGTATGGTTTTTATCCCAAGCTTTTGGTGAGACAAATTTGATTAGTGATTCCAAGAGCCACGATAGGCCAGGTGTTTTTTGGTATTTTAGTTTGTCTAGTCTATTTTGATTTCTTTGGATTCTCGTTGAGCACCTTTCAATCTTATAGGCTATTTTTTGTCACTGTAGGGATTTGTCCAGTAACATTAAAACTAGTGGATTCTCTAGACCACTTGAATTGACCACAATCCAAAAGAAAGTGATACGTAGATTAATTTTTTAGACCATCTTATATAGATCACATGATATGATAGTTAATAGTTGAACTTCCTTTTTAATTACTTAAAGAAAGAGTTCAATCATTAATCTATATCACATTACGTGACTTTACAAATGAAAGTTTAAAATTTTAACCACTATAACATCACCTTAATCCAAAATACGAAAAATAAAGTGGCTAAATTAGCACCAAGGTACTTTTGAAGAAAGCTCCAAATCAAAATTTACCCCAAACTTCCATCTTATTAGGTCTTTTTACAGCTACAAACACTCATAATTAAGGCTTACAATTCAATTGGAGGTTTAGGTTTTCTTATTTCATATAGTTGTTGGGCTAGACTATTAATCTGAATTAGATTTTCTAATAAATATCACATATTAAATAGCGTAATTTGATTTTTATCTGATAGCATAATGGGATTACAGATCCAAACATAAACGAATGTAACATTTGAGTAACTAAAGAAACAAGTTTAAATGGAAATCAAATTTACAATTAATAGAACGAGAAAAGAATAACAAAGGATTGCAAACTATATATGATTGTTAATCCGTTGACAAAAACAATGAAAAAGACTGTAAATTTCCCAGACGCCTACAAAGTTACAAACTTACATTAAGTGTATTTATAATGACCTAATGTTGAAGCAAACATGAAAGTTGTTGATACACAAATTGGGTTGACTTTGGAACAACGTAAAGTGTTAAAGTTGTGACATTCGCGAGGTTGCTCCAATCACGTAATATGTAAAGAGATTGAGATAGAAAATAAACACTAGATGTATAGTGCTATATCCATGAGAATAGAGGAGTCTCGTTAATAATATA